ATTTTATTTTATAACAACTTCCTCCTACATGGATTTTGGGGGATTTTTAATATGTTGTTTTGGAAAGTACATGTATTTGTGACATGTTACCATGAACAGATTTTCATTTGCAATTAGTGGCAGGTTAGGCATGATTTGTTGCTAAATTTACTAGACTAATGTGCACTCAAAACAGAGTCAAAAATGGGTATTCTCCAACACCATAAAAAACATCAATATTTTCTATTGACATGTAATTCAGACATTTGCATCAAATACGGATTTCCTAAATACCAGACTAAACTTTTAAAACATGACAAGTTAAATTCTTTTTTGAAGTGAATGGCCTTACAGCTAACACTAGAATGGACATATCTGAACAAATAGTTAAAAATTATAATTCTATTTTTTATCAAACATGTACATGACACTTGTTCAGAATGAAATATATACACGAAGCAACTACTAACATACACAGCATAACAAAACCACACTGCCAACTTGTCTGGACAGAACGACAACTGAAATGGATATCTGACAAGCAGACGAGGGAAACTGATACCTGCCAATGATGTAACTTTCCGATCTAATTTGTATCGAAATTGCAACAATTTAAGTGAACTATAGAGGTGATATTCACAAAGCAGTGTCATGTAAAGACAAGTAATTAGAACTAAAAGCAATGTTCATCAGACAAATAGAGAACTGAAAGCGACACACAGTAGTGCAGCTAACAAGTTATAACAACCACGCATAGAAATGAAGTAAGGATGTAAATGAAATGATTGTGTAGGCATCACACATAACAACCATTCACTTTTACTTGACAACGTTCACAATAATTCATTCATGTAACTTCGACTCAATGGCCACTTATACATTAAATACTCCAAAGGACAATAACTAGCAGGCAACAATTTATTTTAACACAACAGACTCACAGTGACTGCGTAGGCTCTTTCATTGCACACAAGATTTGACTATTGTGTGGTGAGTATTGTCTCATTCTCTCTGTGGCCGAATACGTTGTTGACTGTACCAGGGCTTGTGAGCTAGGACAGGCAGTGTTTCATTTACAGTAAGTGAATTTTTTGATATTTATAATCATAAATTGTACAATTATGAGTAAGGTTGTAGTGACATTTAATGTAAATGTCTCCCAAACACTTCTTTACACTAAACCATACAACTGTTCAGGCTAATTTAAAACTATTGTCAGTAAAAGGTGTAATTAGGTAGTTACACAAGTAAGAGGTATTCATTAGAGCTACATTACATTATTTTTTATAAATCAGTTACAATATCCACCTGAGATAAACCTTGAAGGTGAGAAAAGAGTGCCTACATCAATAAGGTGTCCAACATTAAAAATTAGCCAAGGAAATAATGGCAGTCACCTTACAAAATCAGCAGTAAAAACAAATATACCCTTTAGTGAGAAACATAAAATCTGCAGAAGAAATAATAGCAGCCACCTTACTAAATAGCAGTAAAAACACCTTAAACAATCTGCAGTAAAAACAATAGCAATCAAACGACAAACATGAAATCTGCAGAGGAAACAATAGTAGACACCCTAAAAAATCTGCAGTGCAAATATCAGTGACCATAGAGAACACTACAATGGCAGTGACCTTGAAGAATGTAATAAAGGTGACAATAGCAGCAGTAATGTGGTGATTTACTATAATACCATTATCATCATTACAATAAACCTAAATTACACATATACGCCATTATATTTTATACCAGATTATTGCTCAAACTATTATAGCTTTTAATGTGACCTATATAAACAAACATACTTCTAAAACTCCTCCTATCTGTATAATCCCCTTTCATTCACTAGGCATAAAGTCAATTTAGCATACATGTGCACCATGAACCTATATGTTTTATAGGTCCATGTGCACACCAATAGTATATGTAGGTCCATGGTTGCACACAGTAACTGAGAAATGTGCCGACCAATATTTATGCAAATGAGCTAATTACAAATGAGAGAGACAAACTATAAAGCGTGTCTTGTTTCATCGGACACAGCAAAAATTTGAACATAACCAGATACGTTACGATTACACATACCCCCCGGTACATTAGATTTGGCATGTAGTATTCCCACTAACACTACACTGTAAATTGTTTCTCCTGGAAATGCTTGTTATTCCGATTATATTTGATCATTTGAAATGGACAAAAGTCACTGCAGCAGTAAGGTAAAAACAGGCACAAAATTATTTATCTCACTATGATGGTTCTTGTTTGAATTTGAATGGAACTGCTTTTCGATGAATTGACAATACCATGAAGCAAACATAACCCAGTTTCACAACATGGTGGCTGTGGAGCTGACCACTATAACAAAAACATGTTTTTTATGGAGGACATCGTCAAGAAATGTTTCACATCCAAGTTGATCTCATTTAAATTGTGCCTACAGTGAAAGATTTTTTGGGAAATATTGTAGGTCTCACAAGTTAAAATATTCACTAATTCTTCTGTGCAGCGCAAATAAGTTCAGTTTCTGATCACAAGCTTGAATTTTCACTTACTGTGCATGTTGACTCAAGCTATGTAACATGGCTGTATACAAAAACATCCACCACATCAGACTCCATACAGGGCAAATGCGTAAATACGCACAACCATATAAACTGTGTTCAACAACATGAGTGGTGTTCACGTTAGAGATCTCGGCACATGCCGAGACTCTGGACCGAGTCAGCACGAGTCGAAAAAAACTTGATCTCGGTCCGATAGATGCTTGGAACCGAAACTCAGCACATGTCGAGATTTTCTGCCTGAACGCTCGACACGAGCTGAAATCACGCCCTCTGTGGTAAATTGAAGAGAACATACTAGTATGCTGATTCATACTAGTATAAAATGACGGTGACAGAAAATGCAGATATACTAGTACAGGTATATGGTCGGATGCTGTAGTAAATGAATGAAATGAATGCAAACCGTCCTCAGCGACGCATATTTATGTGCTGTAACCGCTATTTTCTTGCAATGCTACATTGATGTGGAAAAATAATTGTCTTTCAAATCTTTGCTGTTCATGTGCACGATGACTCATAATAAATACCTTAACAACAAATGGATATAATTTGTTGCTATAATGGATATAGTAATTATTATTATCATCGTATTTGTATCGTTTTCCATGTTTGGGCAAAATAACAGATCAACGAATGAGGGTGTGATTTCGTCACGAGCCGATTTGGTCCTAAGTGGGTCCTGGACAACGTGAATGCAACTGCTGCTACTACGCAAAAAGCGATTACAAGTGATTCAAACGAAAAGGTTGTAATCTTTTTTTAATCCTATTACTTAGCATTGTGTTTCCATCAGTGTAATACTCACTGGTATTGTACTTCCGATTTGACAAACCCATGAAAATTTGTTCTTCATTGGTTTACAATTAATATACACATTGAACAGAGCATGTTCTTGCCTTGTAATACTTTTACTAAATACTTTCTCATGTTCATGCACAAGCCTTACCTTATGTGATCATAATAGTCATGCCAGTCATGGTGTTTTGGTACTGAGAATGCCAATTCTTTGGGTACTGGCGCCATACCCCCAGCTAACATTCCAGATCGTTTGGCCGTCTTCAGTGATAATCCTGGTTCATACTGCATGTCACTAGTAAACACATTCTTCACCATCATATTGGAACACAGTTTAATATTCTTCAGATGGGAATATTTCCGATTTAAATACATTGATAGTATGTACTGGAAATCTAACATCAATAATGTCCATCTCACTACAGGCGGTGCTGGACCATCATGGTCTGAAATGGAAACAATCTTTTGATGAGGCATAACTGTAAATGCATCTATTATTTACTGAGTTTTAATTTTGCTATTTGCTATCAAATTAATTTTAGTGAACATAACAATATAACTCATTGTTTCCCTGATGGCAAATGCAAGAACTTCAAAACACAGTGAGTAAGCTCAAAATATCAAAATAGTAAAAATCAAAGGCCAGTGATAATAAATGATTTTACTTATTTCTATAGTTGATGTCTGATTTCCAAACAGACAAACTTTACTTTCATTTGTGAGTAACTGACACTATTTCTCATGACAAAATGTGATTGCATTGTGGTGAGTAATTACGTTTTTTAACGACTTAAACATTTCTATAGGACAACTTACACAGTGATAAATAGGCAGCATGTTAAGGTGACAAGGGTGGAGGACATTCATTGTATGCCTGGTAATACTTTTGATTATCACTTAATGTAGCTGCGTAGTAATCACTGATTATTCACACTACCATATTTGCTCTATTAGTAGTGCATGCTTTTAAGTAAATTATAGTGGTATGTCTGGTATGGCCAAAAGAAGTAATATTCGATTGAATGTTTAAATGTGCTTCTAATAGAACAAATACAGTATCAAATAGACCCATGGAATGCATTTTTTTAAATTTTTTTTTTAATTACAATAAATGTTATACTCAGCCAAATGAAATTCAATCTCCTAAATAAACACACACACAAAGTAAAATAATAGGATGTCATCAATTCCATGCATACGCAAACAGCACATTGATAGCTGGGACTAAATTTTAGCTCAAACCAAAAATTCATTTTCTAGCAGTTTTCATGCAATCATAATAAATATACCATGACATATCACCATGTTTACTCATATAGTATCACAAAAGCAATTCAGTTCAGTATTAAAAGCCCAATTCACTTGCCCCAGGCAAGTGTGAATTGGAGATGGGCTATGCTAATGAGTGTTGGTAATCACTTGCATAGCCTATGACGCATCCTGTTTCAGCGGTCCAACATCACGTGACTTTGATTGACAGTAGTTAATTATTCAAGATTAGTAGCGCGTCCCTTTCCCCAGGTCGTGTTTTTTACTTTTATTCGCCAAAATCTCAGCTCGTACACTATTTATTGTCATAAATACTACACACAGTCACTGCTGTGGTATTCATAGTCGCATTCATCCACTTTGGCACAACATAATCGATCTGTAAGTTTGAGAAAACATATCTTTACCGGAGCTTGGCTGGAGCTGTTTACTACAGCTAGACAAGCAAGGAAATAATCCCTATTGTTTAGGAGCGTATTTATAGTATACCTGGGCCTTTAAATGGATTAAAAAATTTGAATAAACTTGAAAAAAAAAAATTACAATAGTATAAAGACCAATAAGACAATTGTCTCTGAATGTTTTAATCTTAGGTCATTTGGTCATTTTTTGCAAGGCTATATACCAGTATTATTACAAAAAAACTAATATTGTTTCAGTAAAATATAAGGATAATCAAATAATAGTTGACTGTTTGTTCATATGGTATATACCAATTGCAATATTTGGTTTGTAATACTTTATAGTTATTATGACACACATTGCATTATACAAAATAGAGAACAAAAGTATGTATTTGTATGTGCACTTGGTGGTTAGGTCATATTAGAGGAAAAATAAGGGTTTGCTTCTCATCCTAGCGAAAATGATTTTTATTTTTCATTCACTTTTATTTATACATCAACATCCATGTTCAATGTTTTGGTACATGTATTCATTTAACTGACCCATCTCATAATTTCTTCACAAATAAAATCCTCAAATCATGGAAATTTCTAAGCATGAAAACACAGTAAATGTTTTCTCATCTTACTATACTGTATTAGCAGGACATGAGACTATGTAAATTACAAAGGTGTTATGTGATTACCACTCTTCATATGAACTGCTGTACTAAGCTGGCCTATCCCATGAGATCACCACCGTGTGTGGTATAACATGGGAATTAGTCTGTCAGATTTGTTATCTCCCCAGCGAATAGAATTAAGTATGAGGCTATAATCACTGACAAGTACACCAGACCTACATTTACAGTATTTGGGGTTTAACTTTCCCATCTTAGTTGGAATAGTCAGGGTGTGATGTAAATGTCTTACTTAAACATATCAGAGCCTTGTCCCTACAAACTGATCATGTTTTTCTAGAAGTAAATCATGTATGATATAGATGTTAAAGTTAGGTTTAGAATATCTAAGCGAACTTTGAACTTTACTGGGGTGATGCGATTTTAGTTTTTTCACCACAACAACAGATGTATGTTCGATGTAAATACTGTTTTAAATATATTCATTAAAGATTTTTTCTCTGAGACAGAAAACAAACATTTCCCCATTCTACCATATGTGGCGCACTTCACCAGTGAAGTTTTGTGAAATTACAAAAAAAATTTGTGAAGCACAGGTTTCAAAGTGATATGCACGATAACAAGAAGCAAAACCTTTTTTTTTGGCACAAGTATAAAAGTTGCAATTTTAACCACTGAATACAAAATTTGACTCGTTTCTTTATGAAAAGCAAAAGGTATAATTTTAAAAACATTCAGGGTAAGAAACGTTTCCAGACCATTAATACATGCAATTATTCAAGCGCATTAAACGTAGTTAGCTACATAATACATCTATTGTATGTATGTACGCATAAATGAAGAATACATACCTTTCCTTGATGTCAGTGCTGCATAACCCGCCACAGAGTCTTTACTGGGGTTACAGATATACGGAAACTGTAGCCACGTCGACGTGGACTTGAATTCTTTAAACAGATTTGAGAATGATATCCTGACGATCAGACCATCGTTAGTAGCAATGTCAAGATGCACAACAAAGTATTTACCAGGTACTGGTTTGAATAGTAAATAGAAGTATCTGCCAGTAAGACCCAATGATTGAGTTGATGTTTTTGGTAGCTGTATATAATTCCCTGCAGGTATTGACCCACTGATTCTATACACAGTACACTTCAGTTGCTTGTCCTGAAAGTAGAAATACACCAAAAAATTAATATACATATTCATATGTCATAATTGAATGAAAAAGATGTGCTGTCACTTTGTAACATAATAAACTGAAAAATTGCCCTCCCTTTATGCACTAAAATTAATCCTCACATTTATTAATGCATTAATTTCAGCAGTATTCATCATGATAGCTGCTTAATCTAACAAATTTCTTATATTTTTCATTAAATAAAAACACTTATATGCATGTGATGAAATAATAATTTACAACTGATCACTATTTTTGTATGGTAATATATAATATACTGGGATTATAAATTTAATAAGAATAATTTCTAATTTAAAGAATTTGAACTCATTTTAATTACAAATAAATCTAAAAACAGATTGATACTAACCATCACAGACATAACCTCGCCTTCCTTGGTGGATTTCTTCCATTCTCCAACATTAAAATGCTTGAACACGTTAACAAAAGGATGCTGCCACACTGAAAATCAACACAAGAATGACAAATTTTATTGTTGTTATATTATAGTTTTATGCCAAGGGACAACATAACCATCTATTGTTTTTTTAAAACCACATAACAAGCACTAACAGTAGATACATGTATATACTGTAAAACATGTTTTTTTCGCGAGCATGTCTTTTTAGCGAGAGAACTGATTCGCTAATTCTAGATGTCGCTAATGATCGACTTTAATAAATTCAAAATGGCCAAGGCTTGAGGATTTGTATTCAGTAATCCGGAACATAAAAATCTGGGGCGCTTCCTAATTACACTTGACAGTTTTTTTTTGTTTTTATGGAGGTGATAACTGCGCATTTGTTTTGGCACACAT